GTTCTTCGCGGTAGTTTCCTTTGTTCCTATGACATCAACTGCAAAATAATGTTAGCCGCACAAGATTATATATTAGAAACAAAAAGATTCTAACTGTATGTGTCTTCTGGGATGGGAGGATTGTTACTCACGCGAGATCTCATGTATTTTTAAATTGTCTTGTAAAATATTTTTCTTTCATTGTAAAAGTGGCTGCGAGAATATAAGTTGTACCTAACTTGAGTTCGCAGTCGCTTAATTTGTGCATGGAAATATCGTATACAATATTGAAAACGCCAATGTAAAGTAGGAGTGTTGCGCAGCCGAAGTATAGGGTTGCAGAAGTTTGTACTTTCGGTCCTTCGTATATTTTGTCCTGTGTTTTAGACTCACCTCCCCGTCCTTGAAGTTGAAGCGGTGCATGAGGCCGAGTCCGTCGAACCAGTGGCTGATCTTGTCCTCCCCGATATCGAACATGCCCGGCCCGTTCCGCACCAAACCGCCTGACAGCCATTTGGGAAAATTACCTGCAAGACAAGTATAGAGCTATGATTATAAGAACAGATTTTTTCTTTGATGATGTTTATGTATAATTCATATTCCTGCCTTCATTCATTGAGTTAGATGGGGGCGTAGTTGTTAAGCTCCTTCGTGAGCCCTAGATTCCCTTCACCCAAATCATTATAGGCGAAAATAGACCTGCCCTCAAGGCTCAATGTCCCAGAATTGAGATGAGCATTTGCGCGCGTGGCGTGGGCATAGTTGAACCATATTAGTGTTTTATGTCAAGGCTGGTACTCAATAACAATAATTAACAAGGGAATTCCCCAGTCCCACGTTCAGGAAAAATGTAGGGAAATATTCACATACTAACACGATCTTAGCTGGATGGGGAAACCGACAGGAAGTTAGATCAAAGGTCCCAGAAAAGGTTATCTCATTTCCAGCCTTTAATTTCCTGCTATACGCATGTATGTTGCCTAATGGGGTCTAGTGGAGAAATGCATAGACAGAATCAGCGAGAAATTCATGATAACGAAGAAAACAAGAAATTCACATTTCAGAGGGGAATAAAACCTAAGATGTTGGAGAGGGACTCTCTGTGCGCGCTTTGCCAAAGAAAAGGAGTATCAAAAGTTAGTCACGTGTCCTTATTTACAGTCCGTTGACTTTCAAACCGACCTTGTGACTTGAAAGTCAACGGGATGTCATAACAAAGACGCGCCCTTGAGGCAACCTTCCAGCTGGCAGGTAACAACATCAAGAGCCGGGCAGCAGGGCCGGTTACGCGCGTGGCTGACCTCAGGTAAACCCGGGCATCCCTCTACTCTAGGCGCGTGGAGGTGGAAACCCCATTGCCTCATGACGTCATGCTCTGTGACGTCTGGCTATGCCAGCCTCAAGAGCTCTGAAGGCGCGTGTACCGAGTCTGGATATTGTAGCCTCCTGTACAGGCTCCGGGTGGGTGGGAATTTTGATAAGCGTTTTGAAGAGTTTTTAACGCGTTCTTTTAATTAATAGCCGGTCATCCTACAAGCAGCCGCGAGAGAAGGTTCCATTCCGTTATCCAGACTTGTTCGGCTTATACATTCGTTACGCATAACCTCAAAACGCAGGCCTCTTATTGCCCTCCATGCTTGCAGTGGTAGTATTGCAGTGGCGAAGATATTTTGTACGGAAAATATTGTCAAGGTGACCATCCGTTTCTGTATACAGTACCATAAGCCCGACGTGCGAGGCTAAATACTTTCACTGCTTAACTAAATATAATACTTTCACTGTTTGACAGTTCTTCTATAAATATTATTGCCCAGACCGGGGCCAACGACCGTACGGACCTAAACAAGGTCAGTATTAGCGCGTGCCGCGAGGTCGCGGTAAGTACGCGCGTGTTGGGCTGAAGCTTCGGTGTTTCAAGGCGCGTGGCTGTGAGACTTACTTCACTCCAGAAGTCTTATATAAAAAATGTGTGCGCCATATTTGGTACCGGTGTTACAGTGTGTCTCAAGCTTTAATATGGGACCAACCAAATAATCTGGCCGGCCCGAAAGATTGGTAGATACATACGTAAACGTACCGTGGTAACGTTTATTTCTAAAACCAAATAATAAACAGAATTGTTTTATTTCTGACGCTTAAAATGTCTTACTTTTATCCTCCTCATTCTTCCTACTTTTTGTGTGTAACATTTGTGGGAGAAAGAAACGTTCAAACGTTAAAAATGCACGTATACCAGCACAGCTGATGTATGTAAGCAACAAAGAACCTTTGGTGATGAGGATCTAGCCTGGAGGGGCTTGGCCCTTGTAGTCACGTGATTGGCAAGAAGCAGTTTTAGCCTCGTGTACGCCGGGGTAGCCTGGGTGCCAGACGCTGGCGTTCAGAAGCGATAGATTTTTTGTGTGGGAAGAAGCCCTAATATCCGCTACTGTATCCGCCGCCCAAGCCCAGGTATACCCATAACACTTTATCCTAGAGCCAGGGTGCCAAATCGGGGGTAGCGGGGCGTATGGCTTGTCTGGCCGAAGGGGTTCTCACTCACTCTGGGGCTGGCACCTAGGCTAACGCCGAGGTGAATGACCTAGCGAGAGGGTGGCCGTTCACCGTGAAGGTTTCCTGCCTCACTCCGGTTCACGGAACTCGCGTGCACCGTACATGACCTCAAGTTACCCCGGAGGCCGTAACATGTCAGCTTTATGGATGACATCAGCGCGCACTGGTTTCGACAAAAAATATTTCGACGTGACAATAGGGCCATGTTGATTTGATTACTAGTATATGGATGACATCCTTGGGAACCCCAAAACTGATGCGAGCGTGCGAATAAAAAAAAACGTCTGGTAAAAAAAGTTGCCTTCATTATGAAATTTAGGTGGTCATGAAGGTTGAACAAATTACTAAACACAGTAATATATTATTGGCATGGTGAGTAGTAGACTATTCATTTTCATTCCTTCACATTTTCTTCTTTGTCCTTTGGAATGTATTTTGGCATTCTGCGACACAAGTATCGTTTTCCAATATTTACGATTTACAGTATGATCGAAAACTTGCGTCCATATAATTAAATCAACAAGGCCTAAAATACCAAAAATGCTAATCCGGCTATCGCTAATCAGCCGTTTTTTAAGAATTACAATATTGTTTTTTTTATATTATTTCTTATTTTTGTACATTTTGCAAAATCGAACCATGGTGATAACTGATTACAACGATCGAGCAAAGTCTACCTAACATACAGTACTTGCAGTACTTCTGTAGTTGGTAAGGCGTAAATTGGTAACCTACTGACCTACTCAGTGACCTACTTATGTAAACGCATCTGTGCAGTTCAGTATTCTCCCCCTAGGGGGAGCTTCTGTCCTTGATTGCTGTGTTCTTGCCCGCTAATCGTAGATCATAAAGTAGAGCAAAAAGTAAATGTTTCAGACGGCACAATCGAACTTACCCTATGTTATGTCACACTGGCAAAGAGTTCGGTCAGCCGGGGGCACTAGGGGCGCGATTTATTTATATATCAATAGGCTATAAACTTTTTTTGTACCACGCCGGCCATTTATGTTGCCATGTGTTTCAACGACTTGTACGATGTTAGCTCCGATGAGACTGATGATCAAGCCCTACAAAAGGAGGTTATACGAAGTCCCTGAAAATTTGTTCATTCAAAAAAAAGTACTATAGTACTCTGTACTTTGATCTTGACCCAAACAGCTGGCCCGGCAGAACAACGCCTCCCTAGTGTAAACATTTAACATTTTGGAAACCTGACCGTCCACACGACTATTGAAGCAATATTTCTTCATTTATGGATCCTGCTTGTGTCTTCTTACTGCTGTAAAATCATAACAGAGACAGAGGTGGTCTGAAGAAAGCAATTGGAACATACAGTACTAGCATACTATCTAACAGGATCCTAGAACGTTTTTGACCATTGTCATCATCATCATCCGTCGTCCCTGTCGGGCGGGGTGAGTTGCTGCACGACCGTACTCCACAGGGATCTGTCCGCCATGGTTGATTTGAGGTCTTGTATATCAAATCCCGTGTCTCCGGAGATGGTTCTTGGGTAGGTTAGTTTTCTAGTGTAGGTTTTCCCGCTAGGCCTCCAGAGAACAAGTGACGAGATGATTTCTCCGCTTGCCCTAAAGCAGTGACCAGCGAATCGAACACGTCTCTGCTTGAGCCTGAGGGACACTAGAGGGAGTTTACCGTATATGGCTGCCATGGTTGGATGCTGTTTCCAGCTCATGTTTTGTGCTCTGCACAAAAGCTTGGTGTAAGTTCCATCAAGTTTCTTTTCTAGCCGAGTTGACCATTGTACCTAGACCTTACCCCAAGAAGGATCGGACTTCGGACTTTTTGTGACAATGTAGTATTGATTACAAGGCTGGAGACACTCTGCCCTGTACTGGCTATATTCAGAATTACCTGCACCACCACTGCACGAAATGGCCTCGGATTATAGCAAATCCTGAAGATCCGAAATCGTGCATCATGACGGATACGTAGCAAATCCGGAGAAATCCGCAATTCTTGCTCGAATACGAAGTTGCACTGCAGATCCGACAATTCCGGCACCGTATACGTCCGGATCTTTAAGAAATCACAGATACAAATTTGATATTCGCAAGGAACCTTCTTTCTCGGATATGTTATAACAAGGACGTTCAACACATAAGTTCGGGTTTTGGGGGAGTCTGGAGTTGCCTCGGATCCTGACAGATACAATAAATACCCATCATGGCGTCATGTGTACTACCACAGATTTCAGCAAATCCGGCTGCCGGGTATTTAACGGATTCTAAAATAACCCACATGGCACTGCTGCTTTGGACTCTCCCGCAGATTCCGAACAAAATAACAGAAGCGGGATTTCGCGGATCTCACTTCCGCAGATCTGAACAAGATACCAGAAGCGGGATCTCGCTTCCACAAATCCGAAAGTGATTTGCAGCAACGTGATTTTGCGGATCTCAGAATTTCGTACTGCTATGGATTCCTGGTCCCACAGATCCGATAAAGGTACCAAAAGCAGAATTTTACGGATCAAGGTTCCGTAGATCCGAAAAAAGATACCGGAAGCGGGATTTTACGGATCACGGTTCTGCAGATCCGAAAACGATACCAGAAGCGGGATTTTGCGGATCTATCTTCCACAGATCCGAAAGAGATACCAGAAACGCAGAGATTTTTGTGAATTTCGCACTTGACTGACTCTTACTATGGATTCGCATGGATTCCAAGTTTCACAGATCCGAAAAAGATACCAGATGCAGATTCGCTTCCACAGATCCCAACAGATCCCACTTGGCATTCATATGACCTCATATGGATTACGAATCCCGCAGATCCGAAAAAGATACCAGAAGAGGAATTTTTCTGATCTCGCTTGCACGAAATCTGGAATTTACCAAACTTATATAGCATGGGTAATACTATCTTTCCGAGTTATATTATACAATCTGCATCCCTTATAAATCAGGTACCTAACACGTACATGTAACTTTCTTGAGGAAGGCAATGAAAGAAGCAAAGTCTAAATGATACCTCTGATTGGCCAGCTAGCGTACGCATGCGTACCGTGTTGGCGGTTAGAATGAAAACCGTTAGGAAAGTTGGCTTCGAAGCAGGGGAATACTAGAGAGAAATCAGGCGTTTGCATCGCTTTTTTTCGTGATACATGATGACATAACTAGTCTACTATGATCGGCCATCGAGTTTGGACAGGATTGAGAGTGTTTGGACAGGAGGGGGATGTGATGTCAATTCAAACGCACAGAATAGTGACGTTGGTAGCAAACTTCGGCGCCCCCTCCCCTTGCACGGCGGCCCTGCACACTTGATCCAACACATCGAGCGTTTGGTAAGTTCAGTTATCGTACCTATTTGGTTATTGATATGTCGCTGCCAGAAACATTATAAAATGTCTCTAACTAACCTGCCCCCTTATAGATGAAAGGCTTTTAGGGGCTTGTCTTTGTAGGGTAGCAACTTGTTCATACTTTCTAACGGTCAAATTATAGGCATTGGTGCCGGGCCAATCTCGTCTTGACAAAAATAGGGAGCAGTTTAAAAAAAAGTGTTCAGTATTTTCATTGTGTTCAGGTATAGTCAATTTGTCAATTCCTTTATTATATGTCTGGTAGAAATTTTGATCAAGTTATATGTTACTTTTGTCCATTGAAGATGCCCAAGTTTTCTGACAAATGTAATTTGCAAACAGCAGGGAGTACTACAGGTGAAGCCTCCTCATCCCGAAGACGTTATAAAGGCATATGACACGTTTTGTCACCTGTGTATTTGTTTACCTTTTTATACCTCCAGGATGTATGTGACAAGGTTTTGCTAGTCTGTCTTATGATGTATTAAATGATCAATGGCTTTTTTGCCAACAGAAACTGGATCATCGCCTTGAAGGTGAAGAAACCATACAGTAAGCGGCTCAAGCTCAAGCTGCAGCGCATACTGAGTCCGTAGTACATGTCACCAGACGAGTCAGTTTATGATGGAAATGGAAATCTTTTTTTTACTAAGGCAATTCTTTGGCTGCCCAAATCTACAACATACAAAAGTGAGCTGGACCCAAAATATGAAACTTCATACTAAAGTGAACAGGTAAAACGGCAAACGTGAACAAAGAGGGTACCTGGCCCAGTGACCCTTCTTCCACTTCGAAGTCTAAAAATCCCATCTTAGAGTTAATGAATGGATTTCTAAATGTTAACTTAGATTTAGTATTATTTCTGGTGAATTTTCTGAGGCCAGTGAAACACGTTTTCCATGATTTGTGTACGAATATGTACCCCAAGTTCACTCTTTGGGGGTAACTTTTCAGTGGACAGAAATGTATGTTACAGTTTTTGTTAGTTCACTATGATTTGTGTATGGATATGTACCCCAAGTGTAAAGGCATAGCACACTATTTTAGGGTAACTTTGGGCAGAAATGTTTATTACAGTTTTTGTTTGTTTACTATGACCTCAAGTGTAAAGGCATAGCTTACTGTTAGGGGGTAACGTTGGACAGAGATGTTTATTTCAGTTTTTGTTTGTTTACTATGACCTCAAGTGTAAAGGCATATAGCTCACTGTTAGGGTGTAACGTTGGACAGAAATGTTTATTTCAGTTTTTGTTATTTTACTATGACCTCAAGTGTAAAGGTATAGCTCACTGTTAGGGGTTACGTTGGACAGAAATGTTTGTTACAGTTTTTGTAAGTGGTAACTATGTACCCCAAATATAACCACTTAGGAGTGGTAATTGAACACGATATGTTTCAGGCAAAACTGTGTATTGATGATAAACTATTTAGTTGCAGGAGCTCCTATTAAGCCTGTACGTATCCGAATGTATCCTGAATGGGAATATGGTAAAGGTATTAAAGTTCAAATCCTGAGGTACGCATTTGTCAGGGGTCATTTCTGTACGAATCCCGGGCAAATCCGAGCGTATTCTGTGTGGAATATATACTATAAGAATCCCGTTTTTCGGATTTGTACGGAATAGGTTCCGGATAGCAGTAACCGATGTTTCGGATTTTCTGGCGGATTCCATTCTGATCCGTCAGTATCCGCTTGTATCTGTCAGCAATTCCGGAAAATCCCGGTACGCATCTGCCAAGATCCAAATTCTTTTCTGTGCGTATCCTGGCAAAATCCGAACGTATTCCGTGTGGAATATTT